TATTTGAGTTCTTTCCGACTTTCCTCTTGGGATTGAGTTCTAGTTTCAAAGCATTGTGGTCTGAAAATAGGCAGGGAATGATCCCAATCTTTTGGTACCGGTTGAGACCTGATTTATGACCTAGGATGTGGTCGATTCTGGAGAATGTTCCATGGGCAGTAGAGAAGAATGTGTATTCCGTTGCTTTGGGGTGGAATGTTCTGAATATGTCTGTGAAGTCCATTTGGTCCAGTGTGTCATTTAAAGTCTTTATTTCCTTGTTGATCTTTTGCTTAGATGATCTGTCCATTTCAGTGAGGGGGATGTTAAAGTCCCCCACTATTATTGTATTGTTGTTGATGTGTTTCTTTGCTTTTGTTATTAATTGCCTTATATAATTGGCTGCTCCCATGTTAGGGGCATAGATATTTACAATTGTTAGATCTTCTTGTTGGATAGATCCTTTAAGTATGATATAGTGTCCTTCCTCATCTCTTATTACAGTCTTTGGTTTAAAATCTAATTTGTCTGATATAAGGATTGCCACCCCAGCTTTCTTTTGGTGTCCATTAGCATGGTAAATGGTTTTCCACCCCCTCACTTTCAATCTGGGGGTGTCTTTGGGTCTAAAATGAGTCTCTTGCAGACAGCATATCGATGGATCTTGTTTTTTAATCCAGTCTGTTAGCCTGTGTCTTTTGATTGGGGCATTTAGCCCATTTACATTCAAGGTAACTATTGAAAGATAGGAATTTAGTGCCATTGTATTGCCTGTAAGGTGACTGTTACCATATATTGTCTGTGTTCCTTTCTGGTCTATGTTGCTTTTAGGGTCTCTCTTTGCTTAGAGGACCCCTTTCAAGATTTCCTGTAGGGCTGGTTTTGTGTTTGCAAATTCCTTTAGTTTTTTTTTGTCCTGGAAACTTTTTATCTCTCCTTCAATTTTCAATGACAGCCTAGCTGGATAGAGTATTCTTGGCTGTATATTTTTCTCATTTAGTGCTCTGAATATATCCTGCCAGTCCTTTCTGGCCTGCCAGGTCTCTGTGGATAGGTCTGTTGCCAATCTAATGTTTCTACCATTGTAGGTTACATATCTCTTCTCCCGAGCTGCTTTCAGGATTTTCTCTTTGTCTGTGAGACTTGTAAGTTTTACTATTAGATGTCGGGGAGTTGACCTATTTTTATTGATTTTGAGAGGGGTTCTCTGTGCTTCCTGGATTTTCATGCCTGTTTCTTTCCCCAAATTAGGGAAGTTCTCTGCTATAATTTGCTCCATTATACCTTCTGCCCCCCTCTCTCTTTCTTCTTCTTCTGGGATCCCAATTATTCTAATGTTGTTTCGTCTTATGGTATCACTTATCTCTCGAATTCTGCCCTCATGATCCAGTAGTTGTTTATCTCTCTTTTTCTCAGCTTCTTTATTTTCCAGCATTTCATCTTCTATATTACTGATTCTCTCTTCTGCCTCATTTATTCTAGCAGTTAGTGCCCCCATTTTTGATTGCACCTCATTAATAGCCTTTTTGATTTCTACTTGGTTGGATTTTAGCTCTTTTACTTCTCCAGAAAGAGTTTCTCTAATAACTTCCATATTTTTTTCAAGCCCAGCTAGTATCTTTAAAGTGATGATTCTGAACTCTAGATCTGACATCGTACTAATGTCCGTATTGAGTAGGTCCCTGGCAGTCGGTACTGCCTCTTGTTCTTTTTGTTGAGGTGATTTTTTCCGTCTCGTCATTTTGTGCAGAGGAGAATAGATTAATGAGAGAACAAAATGCTAGCAGAGTAACCACGTCCCCAGAAAATATACTCTAAACAAATCAGAAAAGACCTGAAGCAGTGGGATAAGAAGGGGAAAGAGAGAAAAAAAAAAAAGAAAAAAAAAAAAGAAAAAGATAAAGATAAAAACAACAACAAACAAAACAAAAGAACAACAACAAAAGAAAAACCAGAATGTGATCAAATATGATCTATATGGTATATAGATCAGTGCCACACACTAGATTTGGGGTGTGTTTTGGTCTTTTAGAAGAAAGTGTCTCCCAAAATTTTAAAGAAAGAAAAACTTATATATGTACAAAAATAAGGGTTGATATGATGAAGGGATGGAAAATGACTGTAAAAATGGAAATTATAAAAAATTTTATAAAAGGAATTGATAAGAAGTTGTTTGAAAAAAGAAAGAGGATTTAAAAAAGAAAAAAGAAAAAGAAAAAAAAAGGGAGAGGATGTGATCAGGCAGGGGAATAGAGAACACCATATACTAGAGATTTAGGGTATATTTTAATCTGTTAGAAGAAACTATCTCAAAATTTTAAAGAGAGAACAACTTATATATATAAGCCAAAAATATGGGTAACTACTATGAAGGGATAGAATATGACTCTAAAAATGAAAAATAAAAATGTTTTTTTTAAAAAAAGGGATTGATAAGATGTTGTTTGAAAAAGGGAAAAAGAAAAATTCAAAAAGAAATAAAAAGACAAAAAGACAGTTAAAAAAAAAATTAACTTTAAAAGACTAAGGAATCATGGTAAAAAAGCCGTGAATTCTATGTGCAGTAGTCCCTTAGCGCTGGAGTTCTGCTGTTCTCATTGATCGGTAAACTTGGTCTTGGCTGGCTGTTCTCGCTGATCTTCTGGGGAGGGGCCTGTTGCCGTGGTTTCCAAATGTCTCTGCCGGAGGCGGAATTGCCCCGCCCTTGCCCCCTCCCGGCTAAGTAATCTGCTCGGGTTTGCTCTCCGGGGCTTTTGTTCCCTGCGAGCTTTCCGTACAGCTTTGGAGGCGGAGAGTGAAAATGGCGGCCTCCCAATCTCCGCCCCGGAGGAGCCGAGAACTCGGGCCCGCTCCTCAGTGAGCCCCCAGAGAAAAGCCGTCAGTCACTCCCGTCTCCCCGGTCTGCAGCTGCACTCCGTGCTCAACCGGCCTGTGACCACGCGTTTCTATCTCTGGCACCGGACCCGGTCTGGAGTCTCCAAACCCAGCAGATCCCTGCGGTGCACTCCCGCGCGGCTCCTCCCGGGGGAGGAAGGTGAGTCTCCCCGGATCGGCCGCTTGTTGGGTCCCTGCTGGAGGAGCAGGGGCCCGACTGGGCCGCGGATCGCGGTTAATGGCAACCCCAGCTGAGAGCCCGCGCCTGGGCTCCGCCTCTGCAGCCGGCTTCCCTGCTGCGTTACCTGGGAGCTCTGCTGCCCTCAGGCACCCCCGGTCTTTCTGTGACCCCGAGGGTCCTGAGACCACACTGTCCCGGAGGGTTCCACCCCCCACTTAGCCACCAGAGTGACGTCCCTCAGCGGAGCAGACTTTTAAAAGTTCCGATTTTGTGCTCCGCGGCTCTATCACTTGCCAGAAGCGGCCGACGGAGGCCCCTCCCCCGCCGTCTATCCTCCCGAATATCGCCTCGGATTCACTTCTCCGCACGTCCTACCTTCCAGAAAGTGGTCGCTTTTCTGATGAGAGAGTTGTTGCTCTTCTTTTCTTCGATCTCCTGTTGAGTTTGTAGGTGTTCAGAATGGTTTGATCCCTATCCAGCTGAATTCCTGAGAGGAGACGAAATCCAGGTCTCCTACTCCTCCGCCATCTTGCTCCGCCCCCCCAATAGCATTGTTTTTATAGTGTTTTTAAAAATATAAGATTAATATCTGCTACCTCATTTTTTTTATCTCATAGTCCTTGGGGCTGGGGTTTAGTCTAAGCAATTTGTCTAAGCTTTCAACGCCAATCACTAGCATAATGGGAACTTTTCTTCTAAGTATCATGCCCTATCCAGGGCAATCTCTTCTAGCCAAGAATTCCTAAAGAAAGATTCCCTGACACATCTCCACTACGAAAATTGCACTTTAACGGCCTATTAGACTGAAATGTTCAAGAAAATTTTCTTCATGTTGACCTTGTTGGGGTGTGTGTGTGTGTATAATTTAAAATTTTCATTCAAACAACAAAACCATGCCCCTTACTACTGTCTTCTTTTCTACTTTCCATTTGCATTTAGTTTCTTTATTTCCTTTTTCTCCATTCATGGACTTCCCCCCACCATGCTTATCTGGAATCACAGCACCTCTCTTACCAGTGAGGCAGCTTTTTCCAACTAGGTGAGCTCATGCTGCTTCCTGGATACTGAAACAGCCCAGTGTGACAGTAGGACCATGTCTACTTTAAATGCTCTACCAATTCCACCACGTGCCACATTCCTTCCTATGAGTCCTTTGGGAAAGGAGGTACTTTCTTTGTAATCACAGGGTGAGTGAGTCCTAGACTAAAACAGACCCCATAAAGAGATGCATGCATTCTCTGAGTTTCATATGCTGGGTTAGTTATTCCTCCGTTGGGTTCCTGGAGCACTTTCTACTTACATCCATTATATTGTATTTATCACATTGCATCCAAATGTATTTTTTTATCCACTCATTAAATATATATTAATGTATACCAGGATGAAAACAGAAAAATAACCCTGTTCTCAAAGAGCTTCTAATCTACCAGGAAAAAAGAGACATGACATTCCACATATCATGCGTTTTTGATAGAATGTTAAGAATCATGGTCCTTTCTAAAAATGCAAGATTTAGTCCCACCTGGGAATCAGGAGAAAGTTCCCCAGAAACAAATAAGAACTGTAATGAAGCTATTATAATCATGAACTTCTTTATAGCACCTCACAAAGATGCTTTTATTTCTTCCTTAAAACAATCTTGTCAGAATTTTTTTTAAATATACCCACATAGTAGAAAATAAATTAAGAGGCTTAGAAAGGTAAAGAAACATATAGTGAACCTGAAAACTATTTTCAAAATTAAACATCCCAAACTCAAACTTTAAAGTGCCCTTCCAAAAAAAATATTAGAAAATCTGCTATATTGGTCTGGGCTATGTGGTCTTATATATGAGTAACCCAGTAGAATGGGTGGTTTCCTTCTTACATTAAATACACAGTCATAGTCTTGTTACTACCTTCCTAAGGAATGGGGAAATCAACTCAATAATTTTCTCTTTTCCTCATGCCAGCAGCACATCTCACTCCACCTCTTACAACACAAATCCTGGGAAAAAGCAGAGTCCACCTAAATGTTAGCATCTTCCTCAGGGCAGGCTTCTCATGTGAGGATAAAATAGAAGAAAAGATTGTGACAGTCCTGGAATTGAACACTCTCAAGTGCTTGCAACCTGATCCTGTGTCTGTGTCTCCTCATTCGCCGACGCCGTCCTTGCCTACGAGAGACCCACCCCGGCTGGAGCTGGACTCTGGCAAGTGGCGCCACAACGTGGGGCTCGACTAGGTAAGCCTTTCTACAGGGACAGATAGGACTCTGCTCGTGGGTACTGCAGACCCCTCTGTGAAGGAATACAGAGTAAGAGTGAGCAGAAAGACAGAACTTAGAGAAGCTATGGGCCATAATGAGTCAAAGGAACGACGACTCTTATTGATATTATTAAGCATATGATTGAAAAAAGAGGTGTTAAGGTTACTCATGCTCAACTGGCTAGATTTTTGACCTTTGTAGAGACCTGTTGCCCTTGGTTTCTGAAAGATGGTAGTCTCGATATTAGAACATGGAACAAGATAGGGGAGGAAATGCGGTTATACTATTCTAACCATGGTCCTGAAAATGTACCCGTGGAGGCATTCTCTTTATGGACATTGTTAAGAGATATGTTAGATCCTATGCCTAGCTCACAGGCTTTACACAAAAAATTACGGGAGACACATAACGCTGCCCCCACTGAAGAGACACCTCTATTACAAAAATCAGCCTCTCAAGTACTGGTAATAAATGAAATGAAATCAGAAGAGGAGGACAAAGATAATAAAAGAGTTGAAGGGAGAAATGATCAATTGTCCTCCAAAGATGAGGTAGCCCTTGAGGAGGAGGCTGCTAAATATCATGAACAAGATTGGGAACTTTTTGCAAATGCCACAGCCCCTGAATGCGGCTCTGTGATTAATCTACATAGACAGTTAAAAGTTCCACAGAACAAGGCCTTAGTTCGTAAAAAACCCTTGCCACCTATTAAGAATATTGGCTTTAAGGGAGCAATACAGGAGGCCTTGAGAGATGGGGATTTAACCTTTAAATGTTTTCCAGTGACTTTTGATGATGAATGGGACGAACCTCAGTGGGAACCACTCCCTTATAAGGTCTTAAAGGAACTAAAAAAGGCAGTTTCTGACTATGGTTCTACATCTCCTTATACTATGCAGTTGGTGGAGGCAATTGCTAGCCAGTGGATGACTCCTTGTGATGGGCATCAAACTGCCAAATCTTGTCTCCCTGCGGGGGTATATTTACTTTGGAAGGCTGAATATAAGGAGTTGGCAAAACAACAAATTGCTATTAATAGAAAGTCAGGTCACCGCTCCATAACATTTGATACGCTTATGGGCCTAGAGGAATGGTCACAAGCCCGTGATCAACTACATTTATCTAAGGAGGCTCTCAGCCAAAGCTCCAGCCTAGCTGTTAATGCCTGGAGACACCTACCTGCTGGAGAGGTAAAAACTACAGGCTTAAGTAATACCAAACAAAGTCCAGAAGGACCTTACCAGGTCCTACCCACTGCTCATACTCCGACTGGAGTATTATGGCAGGAGGGCCCCTTGGAATGGGTTCACCTCCCCGGAACCACCAAGAAGGTCGTCTGTGCCTATAGTACCTTGGTTGCCCTATTAATCATTAAAGGCAGAACTAGGGGTGTTGAGCTATTTGGAAGAGAATTTCAATCATTAACCCTGCCTTATAAAAGGGAGCAACTTGATTATTTATTCCAACTGGATGATGACTGGCAAATTGCTATCCAATCTTTTACTGGAACTATTCAGTATCATTTGCCTTCCAACCCCCTACTTCAATTCTTAAAAGAACAATCAATTATCTTTCCAAAAATTGTCAACTCCTCACCCTTAGCTCACCCAGCTGCTCTCGTCTTTACTGACGGCTCCTCAACCAGAAGAGCAGCTTATGTCATTAATAACCATAAAACAGCTGTACAAACTACCGAAACTTCAGCCCAAAGAACTGAACTCTTTGCGGTGATAGAAGTCTTTAAGACTTAACATGACCAACCATTTAATCTTTTCACTGATTCTCAATATGTGGCCAGGCTGTTCCCCGTTATAGAAACCGCTATTACAGCTCAAAACAAAACTACTATTGCTCCTCGCTTACAGGAACTCCAAAATCTGATCAGAAAGAGAATGCACAAGGTGTATGTGGGCCATATCCAAGGTCACTCCAAATTGCCAGGACCCCGAGCAGAAGGAAATAATATAGCTGATTTGCTCACCAGATAGGCAATCTTTACAATTAAAGAAGCAACTGCCAATCATGCCCTCCATCATCAAAACGCAGCCTCTTTAAGAAGGCAATTTCACATAACAAGAGAAGCGGCCAGAGAGAAAGTTCGGAAGTGCTCTATATGTCCAACCACTCAGCCCTCTCTGCCTATGGGGGTTAATCCCCGAGGCCTTAGACCCAATGATCTCTGGCAGATGGATGTAACACATGTTCCCAGCTTTGGTAAATCTGGCAGATGGATGTAACACGTGTTTCTGTGGACACCTTCTCTCATTTAATTATGGCAACAGCTTGCACTGGAGAAGCTTTTAAAGATGTGTCTCAACATTTGATGTTTTGTTTCGCCTATGCAGGAATGCCCAAAGCTATTAAGACAGATAATGCACCTGCATATACTTCATCTGCATTCAAAAAATTCTGTGATTCATTTAAAATCTCCCATAATATGGGGATGCCCTATAACCCGCAGGGACAAGCTATAGTAGAAAGAGCTCACCAGACCTTAAAAACCCAAATCTCCAAACTTCAGAGTTCAGAATATAAATATAGCTCTGAGCATTATATACTAAATCATGCACTATTCATTGTCAATTACCTAAATTGTGACTCTCGGGCGCCTGGGTGGCTCAGATGGTTAAGCGTCTGCCTTCGGCTCAGGTCATGATCCCAGGGTCCTGGGATCGAGTCCCGCATTGGGCTCCCTGCTCCTTGGGAGCCTGCTTCTCCCTCTGCTTCTCTTTCTCTCTCTCTCTGTCTCTGAAGAATAAATAAATAAAATCTTTTAAATAAATAAATAAATACATTGTGACTCTCATGAGATTTCTCCCATTATGAAACATTGGGAAAATGATGACATTAAACCCAAACCACTGGTTATATGGAAAGACCTCTTAACAGGATCTTGGAAAGGCCCCGATATATTATTAACATGTGGGCGAGGCTATGCTTGTGTCTTTCCACAGGACGCTGACTCACCTATCTGGATTCCTGATAGACTAATCCGACATCATGTCTCGCAGACACCCTCCACTCCCACGTCCGATATGTAGACCTTTACCCCCTATAAATATCCCACTTAGAGAAAGTTGTGCCCGATCTCCAGAAGCTGCTGACCTTCTGATTCCACCTTTACACCGGCTGCGCCTTGAAGAGTCGCAAACCAGTCCTACTGCGCCACCTATTCCGACCACACTGCGTAGCAACCCACCAACCTGGGGACAACTGAAACAACTCTCCAATCAAGCACAGCGTCTCGTGGAAGGGCAAGGTGTTAACGTAACCCCTGAGAACATGTTTGTGGCTATGTTTGCGATCATCTCATGCCAGGTGATATGTGTTTCTGCTTCTCAATATTGGGCATATATTCCGGATCCGCCAATCTTGCATCCTACACCTTGGGGATCCTCTTCTATTCGTGTGTTTACTAATAATTCTGATCTTTTGAGGGGAGAATCAAATTCATTTATCTTGCATAAAACAGATGCAAATTTCTCTTTCCACGGGAGACTTGATGATCCTCCTATATGCTTTAGTACCAATACAACAAATTTACCTGATGGCTGCCTTCCCCTCAATTATAGAAGTTTATTAACTGATTCTCCCAATGGGAATCCAAAAACTAGGGATCTTTGGGTACTTAATCTACAGCATATAGGAAGTTATAATTATCAAGGTACTGTGGTCCATGATAAACCTCCTGCATCCATTCCTCTATGTGAGGCCTTGGTAGGAGACCTAAATAATGCTTGGGGCAATATTGATAAATTTAAAGGGTTTCCCTTATGGCATGAATGTATGTTCCAATCTAAAGGATTGCGATTTTCGCCTCGCAACTCTCAGATGTCCATTTATGACTACTCCGTATCTAGCCCAGACCATGACTATAGAAGACATTTAAATAATCAATCAACAAAGTATTATTGGAATGATAATCTAATAAAAAAGCCAGAAAAAATAAACAGATGGTTTTCATTAGGATGGGTTAGTCCTATATTTGTTGCTAAAACTTGGAATAGTACTCAAATATATCCTGAATTATATAGATTATTAGCTGCTACAGGAATGATTTTTCTAAAAAGGCCTAGATGCCCTGACCATATGGAGGTGGTCACGGCATGTGTGGGTCCCCCTCATGCTCTCTTGGTGCAAGGTCATGGCCAATTACAGGTAAACAAGATTAATCATACCTATTATGTATCCTGTTCAAAATGTACATTAACTAATTGCATTGATCCAACTGTTGGACCAACTGTCTTTATAGTTGTTCATCAACCTCCTTATGTAGTGTTACCTGTAAAATTAGAAGAACATTGGTATGATGATCCTGGCATGTATACCATTCAACTTGTAGATAAAGCCTTACGCCGCCCTAAGAGATTTATTGCAGCACTTATATTAGGTATTACTGCTCTTATAGGAATCATAAGTTCTTTTGCTATATCTACAACTGCTTTAGTACAGGAAATACATATTGCACATCATGTGGATAGATTAACCCAGAATATTTCAACTGCACTTTATTTGCAGAAACAAATAGACAAGAAGTTTGAGGCACGATTAAATGTTCTAGAGGAAACTATATTATATGTAGGAAATCAAATTCAAAATCTCAAAACTCGGTTAACCACTAGATGCCATGCACAATATAAATGGATCTGTGTCACTCCCCACCATTATGATTCCTCATCTATCCCTTGGGACAATGTCAAAAATCACCTATTGGGAATATGGAGCAATGATAATGTATCCTTGGACTTAAACTCCTTGCAAGAAAAAATTAAAGACATTAGTTTGGCACATGTGTCCTCAGCCACAGCCTCAGAAGTTGCAGATTCCTTTCTTGCCACTTTGCAGAAATACACCTCCACTACTGCCTGGTTTCCATCCCTCATCAATCTAGGTATATCAGCACTAATTATTATCTCCCTTTTGTTTCTCTTTCCAGTCTTTGTCAAATTACTAAGTAGAGGAATAAAACAAATTCATTTGGAATTGAAGACTTTGCAACTGAAGGCCAAAAATAAAAAAGGAGGAGATGCTTGCAACCTGATCCTGTGTCTGTCTCCTCATTTGCCGACGCCGTCCTTTCCTATGAGAGACCCACCCCGGCTGGAGCCGGACTCTGGCACTCAAGTAACCCCCTCTCCCCTCAGATGAAGTGAGAACCTTACCCTGGGAGATCATCTAGGTGAATCAGCCAGTTCCTCAGATAAATTACAGATTTTATTAAAAAAAAAAACAACAGACTTTAAACTTGAGGAATATGGGTTCCATCCTAAAATCCTAGCTCACTCATACATCTTATTGATATAATCATTTTTAAAATCCTGTCACCACCAACATCATCAGTCTCCCAGAGGGCCCCACTGTTCTTTCCATGTTTCCTGCCTCACTTTTCATTTTATTACTAAGTACAGTGACTTCTTGTCTACACTGTCGTTCTATCTCATGGCCTTGACTGGGAATACTACCCTAAAGTAAAATTGGTCATCAGTGTAGACCTTTTTTTTTTTAAATTTTTGTAATAAGGTGTAGACCTTATTACAAGATTATACATAGTAATTAGAGAAAATTCAGGTAAAAAACATAATATGGAAAGGGAATCAGAACAAGCCATAATAAAATCACCCATATTATCAATGAGAAATACCACTCACAAATATTTTGTTTGACAAAACGACTGTTACTGATTTCCATCATGGGATTATGGAAAAGGTTCTGGTTACCACCTATCAAAGAATTTTGTTTCCTTCTCCTTCCCTGAATCAAATATACATAGGATTCTGATGATGGTTTAAGTAATCTTTTACTGAGGGTACAATTAATTACAGGAAGTTAGGGGAAGAAAATTAGAAATAAAGCCTCCCACCCAATGATCTTATTATCTTATATCTCAGCAAGTAAAAAGGCTTATTGCTTAAATCCTTAGAGAAAGTCCACTGGGGCGTGTTCTCCGTCTCTCTCTCCCTTCACTTCTCATGCCCCATGGTCTTCCACTAATATTTTCTTTCCCATTTGGAATCTTTGCACTACATCCTCTACTGGATGTGAGACATCCAGAAAAATAATTCCCTACTTTCTGTTTATTTTTCAGGTTTTCAATCTTAAGAACATTTGGAATTCTCTGAAAGTCAGTGACTTCTTCTTCTGCCCAGTTTCTGCTGGTTTGGGGATGAATGAGGTGATGCTATGACCAGTGTCTTTCCCTACTTGGGGAGAGTCAGTGGGGAATTTCCATTCTGGCAAATGTTTCACATTTTCCCAAGGCTTCTGAAATCCTTATACCTTATAAGGTATACCTTATAACCATTAGGATTCATTGCCTTGTGAAATCTACCTATCTAAGTAACATGATATTCATCACATTTACTTAATGCAATCTAATCCAATTTTTTTTGGCAAAGTAATGACTCTGACCCAAGGAAACATTTCCATCATCCCTCCCCCACCCCTGCCCCACCACACATGCTACTCAAGGTGATTCCATAAAACTTTCTCATTTTAACTGGAATCACTTTTCATAATTCCTAGGTGTCTTTTTGATGGTCTGAGAAATTTCTAGTTCACTTGTTATTTTCTCCTTTATAAATGTTGTCACAACCATCAATTGGTTACCACTGCATTACTTAACAAATGGTAAAGTTCTTAACATTTTGAGAGTCTCTCTCTTTCTCCTATTCTAAACAATGCTATCATCACTCTCCTAGTAGCTAAATCTTTAAAACTATCTTCAATTTTGGCCTTTGAACAGTATCCTAGAAGTGGAATTCTCCATCAGACTATGAACTTTATAAGAATATTAATCCGTATGGTCAAGTTTGCTTGCTGACAGATTATATCAATTTTCATTCTAACAGCTATGTTTGTAAGTTTTTGTTTTTGGAAAATATTGGACATCTTGGCTTGCTAAAAATCTTTGTCCACTTGGTAAGCAAAAATAGCATCTAATTGTTATGATAAATCATGCATTTATAAATAAAATAATGAGGATGGGTTTGGGGAAAAATAATTAAAATAGGATTCAAGTAATGAATGAAATACATTATACATATTGTGTGACTAATAGGAGAAGCATGCATTTTAATATTGATTTTTTTTAATTCAGAGTCCAGATCTTAATTCTTTTTCAAACAACCTTGTTTTTCTCAAATCTGCTGTTTTAATCTCTAGAAACATTTTATTGTTGCTATTTTAGAAATTCTAGTATGCAAAACTCTACATTCCTATACTTTCATTACAAAGCACGTTTTCAGCTGTGCTACCTTTGTTCGATGGATGATTTTGCTCTTATTTAAAAATGAGGAGGGGGACATTGGGGCCCCCGAAAGTTCAGTGACTCCACCACAATCACATTATCTAGGAAGTGCCAGATCCCAGGCTGTATAGGAAAAGAAGAGAATCAGTGCTTCTTTTTGCTCTACCTCCTGGGAAATTCCCACATTAACACTGGCTCAGTGAGTAATGAATAGATTCTTTCAGAAATAGAGTTGTCACAGTCTGATCTAAGTTAGCAAGCTTTCATTTTGCGTAGACAAAGAAAACAAAATGTTAGGCTGGCTTCTCAGCCTGAGGGCCTCAGAGAGAAGGAAGCTGTCTAAAGCAGGGATCCTTTCAGCTACAGTGAGCATGAATTAGCCAACTAGAAAATACATGGTCTGCATGAATATGGGCACATCCGGATTGTTATTTACCCTCACTGGAGGGCAGGTAACCCGATGCGACCACAGACTCTGTAGACTTTCACAGGCAGAGAAGAAGAATGTGGATTTGGATCCTCTATTTGTATAGCACCTTTAAGGTGAGACAGTCCCAAAAGACTTTGGGACCCAATAGTCAAAACTACAGGGAAGCCGTGAAACACTAGCTGTCCATCAGTAAATATGCAGGAGACCCTGGACAAGAGAAATCCCCTCTATCCTTTGCAGTGAAGAGGAAATATCATGAAGCAAGGCTCATAAATAACTACCCATATTTGATTTGGGGGACAGGGCGCCTGGGTGGCTCAGTTGGTTAAGTGACTGCCTTCGGCTCAGGTCATGATCCTGGAGTCCCGGGATCGAGTCCCGCATCGGGCTCCCTGCTCGGCAGGGAGTCTGCTTCTCCCTCTGACCCTCCTCCCTCTCATGCTCTCTGTCTCTCATTCTCTCTGTCTCAAATAAATAAATAAAATCTTTTAAAAAAATGATTTGGGGGACAGAAGCTCCTGGAATTATGTTTAAGACCTGAGGGCTATAATTTAGTGTTCTGAAAATCTCCAAAGTGGTTCAGTCACAGCCAGGATCCTTCTAGTACTTTGGGGTTACATCCAGCCCCTCTCCTCAGTGTTTTATACAAACATGATTGCATCTGATTTATGCTGAGCAAGAGCAGTAAGTACTGTTGTCCCCGTTTTAGAGGAGAGTAATAGGAACTTAGTACAATTGAAACAAATAATTGACAAATACCATTACTTTCTAATCAAGGTGGATCCTGGTAAAAGGGAAGCCATTTTATTTTCATGTACACCTTGGATTTGGATATAAGAAGGAGAACCCAATAGTGGTTGCCAGGGGCTGGGAGGAAATGGGCAGTTCTTGTTCAATGGTTATAGTTTCAGCTATGCAAGATGAATAAGCTCTAGAGACCTGCTGTATAACATAGCACTTGTAGTTAACAATACTGTATCATGTACTTCAAAATGTGTTAACAGAGTAGATATGTTAAGTGTTATTACCACAAAAATAATAAGCAGGGATTATGAGGAAACTTTGGGAGTTATTGGATTTGTCTATCCCCTTGATTTTGGTGATGGTGTTATGGGCATGTTGGTTACAAAGAAAAATGAAAAAGAATAAAGAACAAAAGATGAAAAGGGAGGAGGAGAAAGAGGATTCTGGAAACCATCTGTGAAAATGTTCCTCTGATAGGCTGTTTGAAGGTCCTTTCAAGCATAAGGTACAAGTAATACCTATTTGTATTTTTGTGTTTCTGTGATCTAAAACCATCATAATCTGCAGAAAACTCAGGTTTTTAGTAGGAAGTTATATCTGAACTGAGCTGTAAATAGTGAGCAAAGTGGAATTGATGGAACTTGCTTCTTGGTAGACCAGTTAGATATTTCTTGAGTCTCGGTAAGGCCAGATCTCAATCTGCCTACATAAAAGACAGTAAACTGTGTTCTGCTGGTGGTTTTAGATGATACATTTTCAAAAGTTATGGTTTAATGCTAGTGCTTTGTTTGTGTAGTGGAACATTTTTTATGAGACCTTTGTAATGATGACAGTGAAGAAAAAAGACAAGGAAGAAGAAAAATGAGGAGGAGGAAGAACAGGACAAGGAGAAATCATTGCATTTTATCGTGGAGAATTTTGGCCTTTGCAGCCATGACTTAAAATTACCATCTTTATTTTAACTCCCCCAACAATAAGATATCATCAAAGAAAATTGGCTGTCAAATTACTTCACAAATTAAACTGCAGCATAACGTATCTCTCTGGGAACTAAAGAAATGAGAGACCTAATTTTTTATGACATTAGAGATCATTTCATCCAACTTTCTCATTTTACATATAATGAAAGTAGTGCTGAGAGGGTTTAAATGTCAGCTGCCAAATTCCACAGTGGATTTGCAGCAAAGTCTTAGTGAAAAATAATAAACGTATTCTATGGAGATATAGTGGTAAAATACAACATGAAATGAACTCTGAGAAACAAAATTTGCAAGTATGTCTGCTTCTATTCTCTGATATTTTTCTGTGAACCATGACATCTTTACCAGTTGTAAACGGTCATGTATTTACATAGTGCTTTTCTTGTTCTCCTTTTTTTTTTTTCTATCTGTTGCCCAGAGTAATTTGGAATACAGCTTTCACACTATACCCTTTCACCTTTTTCCCATCTTTGACCAATGAACCTCAGTCATTCATAAAATTTAGGATAACTTGCTCCACAAACAATAATGTGAAGCCTATTGGATCTTATCAGTCACTGAATGCCAGTTGAGATAAAGGATATGGAAAACTCAGGTTGTTTGTTCGATTTCTTGTCTGTGGTGCCACATGACTGAAAAAC